CTCATCATCACCTGACCTCATCATCACTCACCTGACCTCATCATCACTCACCTGACCTCATCATCACCTGACATCAATCACCTCACCTGACATCATCACTCACCTGACCTCATCATCATCACCTGACCTCATCATCATCACCTGACCTCATCATCTCTCACCTAACCTCATCATCTCTCACCTGACATCATCACCTGACATCATCAATCACCTGACCTCATCATCACTCACCTGACCTCATCATCAATCACCTGACCTCATCATCATCACCTGACCTCATCATCTCTCACCTGACCTCATCATCACCTGACATCATCACTTACCTGACCTCATCATCACTCACCTGACCTCATCATCTCTCACCTGACCTCATCTTCACTCACCTGACATCATCATCACTCACCTGTTTAGTTCCAGAGCTTCATTGTGACTGAAGTACACTTAGTACTTGTATATATTTAAAGTACTGCAGTAATATCAAGTGAACAGTATTTATTTATTTAACACACAAGTAGAAAAAAACATTTTGCTTGTTTTTACCTGAAGAACTTCAACAATTTTATAATAAAAGTTAAAATTAGGAAGTGACTCACGTCAGCTGAGGAGATTGGACTCTTCTGATTGGCTCAGAGACCTGAAGCTCCACACTGCCCCCCGCAGCTCGACAGCTGGAACTACAGGAAGAGAGGAGTCTTCAGGTTGGACGTCAAACTGTAAAAGAAGTTTATAATTATAATTATTTTACCTCAAAACTACATCACTGTTCTCATCCTGTAGATCACACGTGTCAAACTCAAGGCCCGCGGGCCGAACCCGGCCCGCCACATCATTTTATGTGGCCCGCGAATCTACCAGCAAAAAAAAAAGAAGAAAAAAAAAGTTATTTTTTTTAAATTTATTTTGGAAACATTTTTTAAAGTTAGACTTGAAAATAAAAGTATCCCCATGGTCGAAATTATGAGATAGAAAGTTGAAATTATGAGATAGCATGTTGTGAAGTATTATCACCGTGGCTGGACATTGATTACTCCTAACAGTCACTTGGTAACAATATGGTTAATTAGTTATTACCTTTTTTTTTAAAAACAGGTGGACAGGAGAGGGAACAGCCCGTAAAGAGGTTTTCCAACAAGTGATTGAGTTGAAAAAGATCAACAAATAATCCCAAAATGTCCACGAAGAGAAGAATTGATGCAGAGGGAAGAAGATGTAATGAAAGATGGGAAAGAGAATACATGTTTGTGCTTGAAGGAGAAAAACGGGTCTGTCTTCTGTGTTATGATGCGTGTCGGTGATGAAGGATACTATTCACGTCGGCATTTTGACACCAAACACGGAGCTAAATTTAGCCTCCAAGAAAAACATCAAATTGTCCAAGAATTAAAAGGCAGAGTGCAATCACAGCAGAATATATTTACAAAAGCTACAGCCCAGTGCATGCTAAAGGTATGTGAGCAGGTGAGCTCCGACCAGATACAGACTTTTACAAATGTCAGTTTGTGAAGAAACACCATCGCAGACCGAGTTCAGGAACTAGCAGCAATCTAACAACACAGCTAGCTCAGAGACGAGATACATCATCTATCAGTGTTTGTAAGAGGCTGAAGGCAGACCTGACTCTGTGAGGAGCTCTTGTAGCTGCCATGCACGGGACGACGGCAGGGACATTAGTGATGCAGAGAGGTGACAACAATAGCTTTGAACAAAGTTAATGTAATAACTTGTGTTTGATATTTGTCTGTTATTTTCTTTAATAGTTTGATCTTTGATAGAGTAATGTGGGTTTCTTAACCTTAAATTAAAATTATTTATTATTTATTTATAATAACAGAAATGTGCTTAAATATCATTTTACATTTATATAACTGCATGTACAATATTTTTACACTTGAATAAACAATAATCAAAAGCAGAGAGTTATTTAACAATATGTTAGGAGTAGTTACATTTATACAGTCTTACAGTTACAACCGGCCCTTTGAGGGAAACATGATGCTGATGTGGCCCGGAGTGAAAATGAGTTTGACACCCCTGCTGTAGATCATTTAAAGACCATCAACACCATCAACATGCAGATCAACTTCAACATTCACTTCAGTAGAAACAGTTTATATCTGACCGAGTATCAAAATAATTTAAAGTAAAGTTAACATGAGACGTTCATCGTGTCAACTAGTTTTCATTCATAACTAACAGTTTAAACACAGTTATCCTGTGTGTGTGTGTGTGTGTGTGTTCATACCTGGTCAGTGTGTTGAGTCGTCGTCGTCCAGCAGAAAGACAGAAACAACCTGCAGATACTTTTATACCACATCCCTGTGTGTGTGTGTGTGTGTGTGTGATTAATGAACCTGTTAGCACAACAACAATTAACCTCTGAATGTGTGAGTGTGTGTTTACATGTGATTAAGTGTGTGTTCATGACATCAGTTAAATCTGAAGAAACAGTTTTTCTCACGTGTGTATGTGTTTCTTGTACTGGCTACATAGTGAGGACCAAAGGATTTTGGACATGTTGCCCTCTCATTCGGCCTGATTCAGGGTTCACACTTGGTTTTAAGGTTCAGGGCCCTGTTTCAGAAAGCAGGTTTAACAAGTTCACTTTGACGCTCGTATGAATAAAACAAAAACTAATCATCAATGGAGCTTAAATTCCATGAGTCACCACGGCAACATGTAAACAAAAGGGAGCCTCCATTTTAATTCAGTGAACGTAGAGACGTTAATGCAGGTTAGATATATGTGAACATTTACCTTAAAGAAAGAGTGAAAATGTTTTATCTGGTTTTATTCTGTATTGTCCATAAATTCATAATTTACCAGACTATGATGAAGTGTGTTAGACTGTAGTCTT